AAGGGGGATCAACACTGAAACAAAGCGAAATAAACGATGCGGGTCCCTTGCTCTGGGAGCGGAGGGGGAAACGCCACGGGGATTGCGAGCGGGTCGCGCCCGGAGCGGAGCCGCAGGCGAAAGCTGCCCGCAGCTGGGAAAGCCGTTCCGGGGAAAGAACGCGGGCAGCTCGGCCCTGGCTAAAGGAGTTCATCCCGGGGAAATTCCGGCTGGAGCTCGGTGCGGCAAACCCGGCGGTTTGCAGACGTGCGTTTTATACGTGTGCTTGTGTGTGTGTGTGTGTGTGTGTGAGGGAGGGAGGGAGAGGGACTGTGAGAAAGAGAGAGTAAATAACGACAACAATTACAATGGACCGGTAATAAACAATTGCAATTGGGAGTGGCATGAACTCTGTGCATTGGATTAACCTCGAATGACCTTACCGCAATCGTATTTATTTATCCAATTTCATAACAGGTTGCTACTGACAAAAAAAAAAAAAGAAAAAGATGTGAAAGTCGATGATCAACTATGCTTATTTTTTATCTTTGTTTTGTTTTGTTTTGTTTTGTTGTTAGAGATGCTGTTTAAAAAACAATCCCTTCAATTTGTAAGAATTTCATTGCTCGACACTGAAGTCAAGGTATGGGAATTCTTGAGGAAGAGTGCGATGTGGAGGACACGATTTGACTCTGCCGTGGCAAGGGGTAAGAGGAAAGGTAAGATTCCTGCATATTGTTATGATTACGATGATCATTAACTAATACGTGTCATTATGGTGCACTAGGATCCCATTAGGGTGGCTGGGCCCAGTGTGTTTCCCTACTCGGTCTAGCATGTAATGATTTGGTGTAACCGGATTCTCGAGAAAGGACAGGTTACGTAAACATTTACTGATGTGGAGTAACTATACTATTTGTACTCTGATATGCAGGAAGGAAAGTGTTGATTAACACAGAAGAAAAAAAAAGCGAAATTAGCTGATTGCATGCTCATAAGTGCAAGCTGTCATTGAACTGCTTTTAAAATAGACACAGCTGGGTGTTTGTGTTGAAAAATTTCTTGTGTTTTTGCTAATACTGAAATAAGCATGATTTTGTATACCAAACATTTTCAGATCATTAAATTTGTAATCTGTGCTGGTTTTAAACACAAAGAAAAGAAACAGATTCATTTCGCTGTAAAATTTGCTGATATTATATTAACTCAATCAGGTCTGTACAAATGGTGTATTGTGCCTTATGAAATCTCTTTGATCCATTTAATACACAAAGTGCCAAACGTGTGTATTGTTTGTTAACATTGAACGTTTTATTCAAATCCCAGCTCTGCAGCGAACTGGAGGAGTTCTCGTTTAATCTAACACTGACATTGCCTGTTGAAATTTTAATGCATTGAGGTGTTTCTCAGGTCAAAGCAGAGTTTACTTCGCGTCTTGATCGGGGGTGAAAATGTAGCGGGGAAGAAAATACACGTCTTGGCTTTTCGCGTTTCTGAGCAGAGGGCTAACGGCGCAAGCAGCACGCTCTGCAGACGTTTGACGATCTAGGCGCAACACTCGGTCATTTGTCACGGGCGCAGAATAAAGCTCTGTGCACAAACTTAGGATTTATATTATATTTTTTTTTAATGCCGTGGATATACAGTTCTACCAAAAAAGGAAATTTTGCCTCCAATATGTGGTACATATCTTTCTAAGACCATGAAGATTGATTCACTGTTTACAGGACAGAAAAGGATATGTAAGATAAGCCACGCCAATTATTATTTCTGCTGGACTTCAACTTTCGAGTCCCTCTATTTTTTTTTCCCCTCCGCGGAGAACTCCGTTTATGAAACCGGAGGCGTGTGCTGTGGAGATGCGGGACTCTTGCTCTCCGGCCGGGTCTCCCCCGGCCCT